TTCACCGGCGACATTATTGTTTCGCCTGTGTCACAACTCTGCTGTATTCAATTTGTACAGAAATAATGATGCTCGCATTTACAAAATAATAGCGCAGGATCAGATAGTACACACCACACGAAATTCAGACAATGTAGATATAGCTAATATAATACCAGCTTATATCAACAAAACTGGGGTTTACCAGCGAACTGGAATTATTGTGGGGGCAAAAATCATGCTACGGCCCAATATTGACGTTTCAAAGCGATTAGTGAATGGTGCATGGGCTACATCAACGAAATCGTTTGGCCTCAATTTTGTCGAACTCAGATGTTTGCAGCAGATGTTCATCCGTCCGAATTGATTTCGCAAGAGACGGAGTACATCTTATACACTCGAAGGAAGGAAGACTGAAGGAAGAATGTTGCCTTTAATACTATCATGGGCTTCTACAATACGTAAAATGCTGGGCACCAACGTGGATCACACAGTCGTATACTTAGGTGCGAAACTGTTTGAAGAAGGTCAAGCCCATGTGGCTCTTAGTAGAGTAAGATCTTTGCTACGTATAGAGGAGTTGGATTGCAATAAAGTAACGGGCAAGAAACATTGCAATAATGAAGAACTAAATGAATTAAACAGAATGCGAAATAAAAACTAGAAAATAAAAAGAGATAAAAAACTTTTTAAGTTAAAGCTTTTATATTAAACATACATTGCAATGTTTTAGATAAACGTAGTAAAAACCAAAAAAATAATAAAATAGATACAGTCGTGGGAATTATAAACATATGCATAGACTAGAATAAAATAAAACCGTGGGGCACGTCGATTCTCGACAATCGTTGATTAAAATGATTGTTTTGTAATGTTACACTATAGTACTTTTTTCATATGTTTTGTCGATTAAAGACAAACTACGAGCAATGAAACGATTCCTTGCCAGCCAGCAGTGTGAATGTCCAACGATAAACTAGTTTAAACATCTCTTTTATTTACATGGAGTGTATAACTATTGGAATTTCCATGAGCAAGACAATAGTAATTAATTTCTTCACCGTCTGCGGGCCAACTGCCTAACGACGAATTAAAGTCGATAATTTGTAGAGAATTGACGTGCCCCACGGTTTTAATTTAGTCTATTCTATGCATATGTTTATAACTCCCACGACTGTATCTATTTTGTTATTTTATGGTTTTAAGTACGTTTATCTTAAACATTGCAATGAATGTTTAACATAAAACCTTTTAACTTAAAAAGTTTTTTTTACCTATTTTTTATTTGTATTATTTCTTTCTATTTTCAACACACATGGTACAACAAACGTAACAGCAACCACATACAAATTTGTTTTTGTACGTAATACAAGTGTCAGAGTTATATGTCCCAAAATGTAAACAAAACCATTAATTTTCAAAAAAAATGTTCATTTATGGAATTTGGATTACTAAATCCAAAATGCAGAAGAATTTTTCTTAAAATATTTAATTTTAATGCTTTCATACTATTCCCCTAAATTTATAGTTGTTAGCTGTAGGTCCAAACCTCTCCAAACGTCAAGCAATCGCTAGAAAATCCTGAAAAAGCAACAATGAATTTTTCTATTATTAGGTAAAAATTTGTTCATATTGCCTGCAGTGAGATTTTATATCAAAAAATTGTATACCTATTGTATGTCAAGAATTGGAATTATTATCTATTGCTATAGATTCAAATCAGCTGGTCTTGGCGCTACCTGTGATAATTATACCATGTTCAACAAATGATTGTCAATGCTGAAATTGTAGTTGTATTTTGGTAAACGTATAGGTAACCCTGTTATACAGACCAAGGACTACATAAGGTTGGGCAAGAAGTAAATACAATATAACGTTTTTAGACATGATGTACGCACTGATGTAACACTTTTAATTCATGTATTAAAATTTTCAGAAAATATTGATGCTTTGATTTTAATACCCTATCATATTCATTGTTCGACCTTGAATTATGACATAACTACTTAAAGTAATGTTTGCTTTGGAGATGGAATCGAATTTCAATGTATGTCCGTCCGTCTGTCGATGTATTTTTGTAAACAAAGTAAGTGTGTCAAATTTGGTGGAAATCGGTTTAGATATAGCTCCCATATTATTCTTCATGCACTCCGTAACAACGATATTTGGAGAATATATAAAAAACAGCTCAGAAATATATTTGCCAAATTTTACAATTACGCTTTACCCAAAATGTATGTCGATCACATGAAAATAATGTGCATTCTTTCCCACATAGAAATGTATCCAATGTATCAAGTTTACCATGTCTTCCTACGGAAATTACAGCACAATACAGTTCAATTAGAACTAATTTAAAGTGGAAATTTGGACTCGAAGCGAAAACTTCATCAGACCTATAATCCAATCTCTTTCTAGATGAAGTTTCATACCGTTAGCTCGACTCCGAGTAAACAAAGCTATTTTTAATACAAACACTATTACGAGCACTGCGATCCCGTCGAATGCAATTTTTTTACAAAATCAACGACTCAGGTGCAAATGATATAGCTATCCGGCATCTTTAAACTATACTTTGTCAATTTATTTGCAAATCTTATAATAACTAAAGAAATAAAACATCCATATATTTAGAACGTTTTATTTAGCTCACCACGTCCCTCCACCATTCTATGAAGGGTATATTAACTTTGTAATTCTGTTTGTAACTGCTCGAAATATTCATAATAGACCCTACAAAGTTTATATATTCTGGTTCATGCTTAAAATTCTAAGACGATCTAGCGATGTCAGTCTGTCTGTTGTAATCACGCTTTCGAACGAATTGAGAAAGAAGGCTAAAATTTTGCATACATGCATAGTTTACAAGTGGGCAGGTTAAGTTCGTAAATGGGCCATATCGGTTCACGTTTTCGTATAACCCCCATACAACGGTACCTCCCGATATTCGGTATAATATAATACCAGCTGATATCAACAAAACTAAGGGGTTTACCAGCGGAACTGGAAATATTTGTGGGGGCAAAAGTCATGCTACGGTCCAATATTGACGTTTCAAAAAGATTAGTAAATGATGCAATTTTGTCGAATGCAGATGTATGCTACAGATGTTCCTTTCGTCCGAATTGATTTCGCAAGAGACGGAGTACATCTTATACACTCGAAAGCCATACAATTACAATAGTACAATTACGGGACGCCTGAAAGAAGAATGTTGCCTTTAATACTATCATAGGCTTCTACAACACATAAAATGCAGGGTCGCACCGTGGATCACGCAGTCGTATACTTAGGTGCGAAACTGTTTGAAGAAGGTCAAGTCTATGTGGCTCTTAGAAGAATATGATCTTTGCTACGTATAGAGGAGTTTGATTGCAATAAAGTAACGGGTATGAAACCTTGCAATAATGAAGAACTGAATGAATTAAACAGAATGCGAAATTAGTTTTTATAAACTAGAAAATAAAAAATAGATAAAAATCTTTTTAAATTAAAAGCTTTTATGTTAAACATACATTGCAATGTTTAAGATAAATGCACTAAAAACCAAAAAATAATAAAATAGATATAGTCGTAGGAATTATAAACATATAGACTAAAATAAAACCGTGGGGCACGTCAATTCTCGACAATAGTTGATTAATATGTTTTGTTTTGTAATGTTACACTATAGTACTTTTATCATATGTTTTGTCGATTAAAGACAAACTACGAGCAGTGAAACGATTCCGTGCCAGCAATCAGTGTGAATATCCAACCATTAACTAGTTGAAACATCTCTTTTATTTACATGGAGTGTATAACTTTTGGAATTTCCATGTGCAAGAAAATAGTAAGTAATTTCTTCTTAAGATAGGAAGCAAAAATTTTGCACAGATCCGTCTTTTGTGTGCAGGCAGGTCAAGCTCGAAGTCGATATCGATGTCATAAAACGATATTTTGATAATTGATTCAATATTTTGATGATTTTAGGAACTTTTTACAATGGAAATGTCGAAATTCTACACAAGGAGTTCTTTGTGAGTATTTTAATCCCTGGAAGAGAATTGTCTATAAAGGTCCACGGTACCCCTGATTTTTGTAACCACATTTTTCAATGGAATTGTTTGAAATTCTACACAAGGAGTTCATCGTAACTACGCTACCCCTAGATATTCGGTATTTACATGATTTTCGCAACATTATTTACCGGAATTGCGTCAAATTTCGTATTTTAGTTTCGGAATCGGTGCTACAGTCTATGACAGAAAATTACTTATCCAGCACCACGTCTTCGTATAGCCTCCATATAAAGATTCCTATTTGAACGGTATTTTTTGAAGGTTTTTTTTTCTTTTGAAATTATTCAAGTTACATCCGAATGGTGGTGGGTATAAAAGGAAGCCCGGCTAAACTTAGCTGCTTTTTTTTTGATTTTAAATTATATAAAATTCGAAGTACCCGGTGGACGTATTTTATCACAGAAGTTAAACACATGCATTTATATGGATGTTATCCAAATACGTCGGGTGTAAAGAATCTCAAAGTTGAACATTTTCAATATTGACAATTTTTTTTTATTGAAAATGCAAAAAACAAAGAAATCCTAATAATGAAATTTAATTCGGATACAAATTTGTATGTGAATGCACTAAAATTAAGCCTGCTTGTTGTATATTTAACTTCGGATAACAATTTCACATGGTATTTGTTGTTCACCTTGAATTATAAAAAAAAATTCTAAAATCGGGAAAAAATCGAGGTTTTTTTTTTAATGGAATCGAATTACAAAATAATGGCGCATTCTATTAGCAAACTCCTTAAGGACCTTTAAAGATTCGCTGTAAAAAAAACTGCTAACAAGTTCAAGATATGTGTGTGTGTGTTCAGACACAAATGTCTGCCTAAATTTTCCAATATAAACGTGGGGTTGTGAGGGTATCATATACATAGTATAAATCTCGTTCGACTTCTGTATTTTCCTTATTTGCTTGTTTTTCCATTATTCATCAAAAATTTTTATTGTTAATAGTAGTACTTACCAATGGTGCTTTCTCATTGTAAGGGAAAATTTAGTATTACATTCTTGGCATAGATCGGATTCCGACCAAGGGGACTCTTGCGGTAATTGGTCAAGAAGTTTGTGTAAAAGTTGGTCAGTTGCTAGTTTAAAGTTGAATATGCTGATACCTTCACGATTCTCGGTTCCTAGACAAGCTCCGTTTTTCACTAGTACTTTACAGAGAGGAGCTTGACCACGCATAAATGCGAGCAATAAGGGAGTGTTTCCATCCATGTCCGGTGCATTTATGGGATATTTAGGCATGCACTCAATGAAAAGATCACAAATGGCTGCAGCATTATTATCTTCCCCTGTTCGGCAAAGTTCGTGAAGGGGATTTCGGCCCTTATTGTTTATGGTTTCCGCATTGACACTGGATTCTATTAAGAGCTCACGAACGACACTCAGGTGACCACAACGAACTGCAATATGTAAGGCATTGTTGCCTTCTCCGTCGACTGCGTCAAAGTCTGCTCCATTTTGTAAAAGCGCCGAAACAGCCGCAAGATTGCAACGTTCTGCCGCAATATGCAATGGCGTCTTTTGCATAGCATCTCTTTCATTTACGCGAGCTTCAGCCAATATCAAGTTTCTTGTTATCATTTCATTGCGAGAGGTAGCCGCCAAATGTAAAGGCGTAGACTGATTCGCATCGTGCACTCTGGAGTTTACGTCCACTTGTATGGCGAGTAAAAACAGAACACTTTCCAAATCATCCTTCATTATAGCTAAATGAAGAAAATTTCGTCCTCTGGAGTCCATTTGTTCAGCTGCATTTGGTAAGCGATCTAAAATCCGTTGTGCTGCTCTGTGGTTTCGTATCGTTAAAGCTGTAGCGAACGGTGTATTACCACATTTATCACGAATTTTCAAATCGATTCCGGGGTGGCAAAGAAGAATTGATATAATTTTTTCGTGTTGGTTCTCTATGGCAACATGTAGTGGCGTTTTATTTTCTGCATCCAAAGAATTTACATTTGCGCCATGGTCGATCAGGTTTTGAAGAACCTTAACAAGACCCCATTGCGCGCACAAGTGTAAAGGCGAAGCCTTATCTGTTGCCTCGTCCCCTCCTTCTCCTTTAGGTCCTGGTTGTCTGGGTGAATCAAGATCGCATTGACTGTGGATAAGAAATATTGCAATAGATTCTTTATTTTCGTCTATAGCTCTATGCAATAAAGTCTGCTGACATCCATCGGGGCCAGGACCCCAGCAATCTGTATCAACTCCATGTCGAACTAACACTTGTGCGACATCTTCGTATTCCAGTTCTAAGGCCGTCCACAACGGAGGGTCTCCCTTGTTATTTGGTGCACTAAGAGCCACACCTCGCGTACATAACGCATCGACAACTTGGGGCAAACGACAATGTATTGCCAATTGCAACGGTGATTCTTGCTCTCCAGTCAATGCATTCATATCCGCCCCTTGTTGCAATAAAAACACTGCGATATCTGAGTCATGATTTAAAATAGCCTGGTGTAACAATGTCATATCTTGTCCGTTGCGAGCATTTACATCTGCGCCTCCTTTAATTAATAAGGGAACCAATTCTCTACGATTTAAAAGTAGACTCAAACTTAAGGGAGAATCTCCATTTACATTTTTTAAATTAAAATTAGGCATTTCACAAACATCGCTAAATTTGCTCTCCTCATTCCCGTTATATTTTAGAGAAAATTCAACGTATGCTTCTATGAATTCAGTAGAATTGTGCTCCACTGCAACATGCAATGGAGATTTGAGTTCTGCTACGCTTGTTTGAATATTTGGCGAAGCCCCAGTTTCTAATAATTTTTCAGTCAGTTTTTTTAGATTTTTTTCAGCTGATATATGCATGGTAGTTAATCCAAGACGGTTAATATGATTTAAATTAGCATGGTCTGCAAGGAAAATAGCCGAACATTCCAAGCTTTTATTGGCTAGAACTTGCAATAAATTATCATGACTCTCAGATTTTAAAGGATTTGCTCTGGCCCCCAATTCAAGCAGTTTGCTTGCAAACTCTATGCCCCATTCGGTTCCGTTCGATAGACTCGACTCCAAACAACACCTCTCGTCAATAGTTCGCAAGTTAATGTCAATATTATTTACACGTAATAAAACATTTTGCATTTCAATATTTCCTGAATCAATAGCAACATGTAGTGGAGTCTGTCCAAGACGATTCTGTATATTAACATCTGGTTTCATATTAATTATTAATTTCCCAATATCAACCATATTGGAAAACACTACTGGGTCGGTGTTTTTTGGATTGTAGGCACAGACAACGTGTAGAGCTGTATCAGCTGTCAACCTGTAAATCCGGTTTTTATTAAATAAAATAAAATCAATAAAAAAAAGCATTCTAAATCGAGCATTAAGCATTCTTTCCTACCTGGAAGCAAGGTTCAAATCACAATTTCTTTCCAACAAGAACTCGGCTGAGAACTTATCGCCCCTTTTAATTGCATCAATAAGTATTGTTGAGCCCTAGAAGTGAATAAGCAATATATTCAAAACCATATCAACATGGTTACACTTTTACCTCAGCATCGTAGGCGTTTATGTTCGCTGCTCCGTTCTTCACGAGTGTTTGAGCTATCGGCAAACTCTTACTCATTAGTGCCATTTGTAATGGCAAGTGACCTTGCTCAGCAATACTGTTAACTATCTCCGTCAACTAAAATATTAAAAATATAACATAACTTAACATTGTTTGGTAGTTTTTTAAGTATTTGTGAAAATTGTATTTGAAAATCCATTTGTAATTCGAAACATTTTATTGCAATTCGTAAAACTACATTTGAAATTCGATTTTTTTTCCTTGTTATTCGAATTATCTATATATATAAAAATCAATTGTTGTTTGTTGGTAATGGAATCAGTTGAAAACGGCTGGACCGATTTGCATAATTTTTTGTACAAACGTTCGTCATACCCCAAGTTAGGTCTTTAAAGAAAGACCCACTATTCCGATTTATCTAAAATCCTTATATTTCCCAAATAATGAAGATATTGGTTTAAAAATTATTACACGAGATACTGTGGACCTTCCCTCCAACCCTAAGTATTTGTTTGGGGGCTGAGGAACTGAACACGCCTACATTTAATCTAACTATACATCTTATATATAAAAGAAAGTTGTGTTAGTTACTACGCTTATAACTTAAGAACCGTTGAACTGATTTTAATGATACATACAAATTCGGAATTGTCTCCTATCTGAAAAGGATAATATCCAATGTACATTTGTAGTGTTTTTTATATTTTATTTTTGAATTATTTAATTTACTTGATTTCTTGAGAACTGAAATTGATGGCGGGTTACATGGAAGTGTAGTACCGAATTATGTGGTGCCGAAACGGAATATATGACATCGAAATAATTTAACGTGATCACACCAAAGTTAAAAGATAATTACTTTTTCAAAATCTCTAAAAAATCACGAAAAAGATATCTCATTGCAAAAATTCTCAAATCGGGAAAATATCGAAAAAAATTTTCAATGGAATTGAATTTTAAAATAAAAGTACATTCTATTGACAAACTTTGTAAGGATCTTTAGACAGTTGCTGTAAAAAATCATCGAAGAAGTTGAAGATTTTTTCAATTTGTTATTCTTCTTTTGTCATTTTTTTCAATTTGTCTTATCATATTGAATTCAGTGCATTTTTTGTGAACAAAATAAAGAATAATTGTTCACTATATACAATTTTTCACCAAAAAAATGAAATAAGTGCGAAATACGATGTTAACTGACATCTACCTTTCAACTCCAGAGCCTACATCGTGCTTCAGCTGGAAGATGCGCACACATTTAAACAAACAAAAATGACCGAAAAAGACTAATGGGGCTCATTTCAAAGCGTGGACCTACTTCATTCATGTGACAATAATCCGTCCAATGAGAGCTCAAAGTGCAAAATTTTTTGGGAGTTCAATTAGTAAAATACCAAATATAAAGGGTGCAAAATAGTAGAGCGAATGGGACTTTTAATAAGAAAAGGATTTCTATCCTTCCAGAAATTCTTCCCAAACATTCAAGAAAGCTTAAATCGCTTTTGCAGGTCATGATATCGATAATATATAACCATCGTATGATTTAGGCTATTTTTGGGGTCTTGGCAACTTTCTTCTTTTTTTGGCCCTTATTTGGCATCTTGTTTCTAAGGGGGTAGAGAGCCTCTTCGCATAAAATTTTCGGAGTAGGGCCCATATTGGTCTTGACCACATTCATCAATTGATTTGGCTAAAAAATTGTATATATGCTACCTTGGGGTAGGGAACCATCATACAGATATTTGGCACATAGGAATTTATTTAAGTAAAGTCCCCACATTAGAGTATCCCCATCATCTAATGTGTGGTCAGAAAAGAAAAATTTGTATTCTATTGAATTTGTAACCCCCAAGAGAATATTGGTTGGGAACGTATATTTGGGATGTACATCTATATGAAATAAATTGTGAAAACATGAACAAATTACAAATATAAGAAAGTAGCACGGGACCGAATATTTGTTGAATCGTCATTGAATTATACCATGATGAAAAATATGGACTTTATGGTGTCTCCAATTTACAATTTAAATGACAATAAAATTAGTTCCCTTGTTACGGTAATGGGTGTAAAATAGTAATTATATTTGACTATTCTGAAATCAGTCTGCCGTCAATTATGAGGTGGATAAAACTATTTTTACTTATTTAAATCACGTGATTTTTTTCGGTATGACATGCTATGTTTTTCTGCTATATTTTTGGCCTCTATTTGTCATCTTGGATTATAAGGGGTGAAGAAAATTTTCAATGTAGGTCGATGTTTTGTAGTAGTGCCCATATGAAGATACTTCCTGATTTTACCATATTTCAAAGGATTTAGCTAAAAATGTGTATTTGGGGGGTAAAAATCTTACACAAAAATTTCAACATATTTACAAATTTTAGAATTTCTCTATGTAATAGTACCCCCTCAAGTCCACCTTTTGGCGGACAAACAGACCGATATGGTTAGGGGGACTTATGAGGACTCTAATGCACAATCTGAGGTGCTAATGGGTTTAAAAAAGTAATTAACTTTGGCTATTCTTAAATCATTCAGCTCACAATTATGAGGTGTACAAAATACAGTAAATTCAAAATTACTGCTCATTTGACTAAAAACTAAAAATTAATCGACCAGTACGTGAACACTTATAACAGTCATATCTGTGAATAATTATGCTTTGACAAATATGCATAATAGACAAAAACTACGGGCCGGCAACGCGGACCGGGCCAGCTAGTTCCATATAAAAATTCTAATTATTTCACTTTCGAATCATTTTATTGGTAAGTAGAAAAACAAAAAAAAAAAGATCGCGATTTTATTTGTTTTGATTTTCAAAAGAAATATTTTGTTAATTTTGCAGTTATTACTTAATTTTATATAGGCGATAAATATATATTTTTTTAATTTTTTATGATCTTAAATTTTGTATTATATGTTTACGACATATTCTTTTTCAGATCCTCGTTGTGATACAACCTAAAGCCTTTATGCAGTAGAAACTCATAACATCAAAATTTCCAGAAATTATAAAAGAGCTTATAAATACCATGATACAATAAGGAGGTAGAACAGCTTTGAAAAACTACAGAAGTACAGCCCAGAGGCTATGCCCGCTTCCTGTCAAATTTGCATGCAACAAGTTGTTTTCATTTATTCAATATTTTCCCTCATTTTTAAAATCAGTTAAACAGCGAGAAAAATGGTGGATGGATTTTCTTTAAAAAATACGATCTAAACAGTTCTATCTTTCAATTCATGTAAAACCTGGCGAATATCTTTAATGCACGTCTCGCAATGGACGTGTTTTCCAATCATTGAATTTGAAAATATTCTGTTTTTATTTTTCAAAACAATTCTAAACATCTTTTGGTTTCTAAGTCATTGTCTTCTTTTTATACCCTACACCACAAGGTGTTCAGGTTATTATGTCTTTGTGCATTTGTTTGTAACAGGCAAAATAAAACCCGAATAGTATGGAATTTTGCACTTACAACCAATCCTCCGCTGCCGTAATATGCACTCTGTAACAACAATATTTGGGGAAATATATCAAATACAGCTCAGAAATACATTTGCTAAATTTTATCGAGATCGGTTCAGATTTAGATATAGCTCCCACACATAACTTCGTCCGATTTACATTTTATTGTCCACCAAACGTCTAATATTTGTCCAAATGGGATGGAATTTACGACCGAATTGAGTCTAGAAGCTAGTATATAGCTCCCATATATACTGTTTATACGATTTGTTATATGTGTTACCTATAGCCGTAATATGGAATCCGTAACAACGATATTCAGGGAAATATATCAAATACAGCTCAGAAATATCTTTGCCAAATTCTATCGAGATTCCGATTTGATTCCGAGATTTCCGATTCCGATTTGGATATAGCTCCCATATATATTTTGATCCCATTTCAAATTAATTGTGCACCAAATGGGCAATACAAGTCCGAATTTAAAAGATACAAATGCTTCGGCATATTTAATCCTTTGAACTTTAAATTATAATTATAATCATAGCGTGTATGATTGAATTCTCCCATAGAAACTTTTAATTGTTATGCGGAGCTCTACTAAATTAGCCAAGTGGTGTAGACTTTATTTACTGGTTTATATTAATTTTGAGTTATAGTATTGAAAAACTCTGAAATTAGAACACGTGAATATAATATCGGGACGTTTTTTCAAACAATGTTTTCTCCTTACTATGATTTTGAACTTAAATTATCACAAAAAACAATTACATGATATTTACGTTCAGTAATATATGTTCATAACATTATTATGTGAACTGTAGTTTACCACAAAGTTTTGTAAAAATGGCCCACAATGAAAGATCTGCTAAAAATACGTAGAAATGACTCAATATCCAAACGATTTTGATGTTGAGCCGATTTCAAAAGCCCCTATCAAAAACGAATCAATAGATACTTCTTGTAAGATGGTCTGTCAAAAATTGCATATCGGCCCTCTCATTCAACTTTAGATAAAGATCCTATAGTTATTTTATGATACATACTTATATAATTATAATGTATGTATATGTGTATATTAGGAATTTAGACTTAATAAACATATTATTAATGGAAAAAATATATTAAAATATAATAAATGAAAAGTAATCCTGCACCAGCAATAACTTCAATTTTAACCTAACTCCTCCAAGATTAATGCTGGCAAAAAACTACGCTGATCGGATAATACATATTACACAGCTGAAAAAAGAGTTACACAATTCTTGGGTTGATGGCAAAATATTCTGTGGAGAACACTGTTCCACAACCGGTTTCAGTTAAGACCACTGATACAACTGAAACTGGGCGTGAACAGTCGCGTATGCCAGCGTTGTTACACTCCGAGTTCCGGCAATTAACAGCGATATAAATAAAGGGGTAAATAATCCTGATGTTATGAGTATTGATAGTGAGGTTTCTAAGAAAACGTCTCGTTCTGTGTGCCTGTGTAACAGCCATAAAGATTTAGAATATGTAATTGATAAATTTTATGATATTTTAAATAGATTTAAACTGGAATGTGTTCCAACCACTAGAGTTAAAAATTCAAATAAATATCCATGGATAACCTCTGAGTTATCAAGTTTAAAAAAACTCTAAAAATAAG